TATATATATATATATGCTTTATTACAAACATACATGTATCTATATATAGTTATATTATCATTTATTCATTTATTATTTTATTTTATTTCATTTCTATGTTTTTTTTTTATTTAAATGGTCGAATTTTGTGTTATTTTGCGCGAAAGATCGAGGCTTTGGTGTTATTGGCCCAAAAAATCGCCAATCAATTGGTTGTATTGGCGATTTTACAGACCGCCAGAGTTACGGTGGGGTTATTCCACGGTGATCAGATGTTATCGTGGGAGTTTGCACGGGGGTGCGATGCGGGTGCTATTAGCAGTAGTATCGCGAGTGTATTGCGCGCTTGCGATAGGGTGCAACGGATGGATTTTGGTGTTATGCGGGGAATTGCACGACCGATGGGGTTAGTACTATCTTGGCATTTTATGGGTATATTTTTTGTGTTATTGGTAGGTTTTGTCGTGTTTTGAAGGAGTTAGTGAAGAGAATCAAAGTTGGTGCCTTTGGATGTGTTATTGGGTGGTATTTTGATGTTATTATAGTGTTATCAAGTGATTTTGTGATGTTATTGTAGAGATTTGAAAGGGTTTAACATGTGGTGTTATTTGGAAATTGAGGTGGTGTTATTAGGGAGTTAAAGTGGTGTTATTGCTTGAGTTTAGCCTAAATCAAGCCCAAACCAACGCTAAACCCTTTTCCTACCTCAACTCAACTCATAAACACATTCTAGAAGGAAATTAGAGTATGAATTTGGCAGTTTTGGATTTTTTGGAGAATTTGATGTGAATTGGGTTAGATTTGCTTTTTGAAGTAGCCTTGGTGATTTTAGAGTGGATTTGAGATGAATTTGGGTTTGAATTTGAAAAATATGAGTTTGGGTTCAGAATTGGGAAAAATTATGTTGGATTTATGGATTTTGATTGGTTTAATGTGAATTTGAGTGTGAATTGATCAACTTTGGGGTTTGGGCTTAAAATTAGACAGGGTTGGATCAAATTGGTAATTTGATGGAGGATTCAAACAATTTAGGAATTTTGGAGAAATTGGGTGAAAGAAATGATGTGGCATTGATGTGATTTTGGATTTGAAGTTCAAAGGCAGTTGAATTTGAACTTGGTTTTAAAATTGGGGTAAGTTTAGGTTTGGGGTTGATTTCAGTTTTTTTGGGAAATTGGGGTAAGCTTAGGGTTATGAAGGCGTAGTGTGAGTGTGAAGATTAGGAATGGTGAGAAGACAATCTTAGGGCTTGATGATCCTATTGGAACCCTCATTGAGCTTCCTTATGTTGGTTTCAACCTTCTAAGCACTAGAGGTCAAACATCATACATGTGAAACTCCAAAAAGAGCAAAGAAGTGGTTTGAGTCTCTAAAATTAGGTGGGTTCCATTACTACGAGTTCTAGGATATTCAAAGGGAAAAACCTATAATTAGATCCTAAGTCCTAAGAGAAAGACTAGACCTCACCAAAAATGAGGTCAATAAAGTTGTCTTTATAGTCCATAATTAGTGATTGTAACATCATCAGTTGAGCACATATGTTGTAGGTTGTAACTAAAATACCATTAGTTAGCCAAAAAGGTTGTAGTTGGTGACTATAATACAATCAATTGGTCACAAAAGTCATAATTGGTGACTACAATATCATTAGTTGGCCATACATGTCGTAGTCGGTTAATGTAATAGCGTTAGTTGAAAATAAAGATCATAGTTGAAGGATGTAATAGTAGAAGTAGCTTGACATATAGCCACAATTAGTGTATGGACGCCTTCCCTCAATTAGAATGGAGTTATAATTTTGGACTGAACAATACATTTGTTTTACAATATACGAGAAAATACAGGTGTTATGAACAACCATCGTGTTATAACTACAATGGTGGTAAGCAATTGTCACCAAATGTTATTGGTTTGCAATGACTAATGGTCACGGTAGATGGTGGTCGACAGCTACTGAGTCCAGAAGTATGTGTTGGGTCCTTAATACCTTACAGTTGTATTTAGAACATGACTTTTTCAAGTAAGGGTCGTTGGTGGCTAAAAGTTATCACTATGTCTTAATTACGACATTATACATTACAACTGTTTTTAGGTATGACATTAGCAAGAAGGACATACTGACAATGACAAGCAAGGGTGATCGATGAGTAGCTCGGTCGTAATTTTTCACCAGGTCTTCAATACTGCATCATATCTTATGAATGTATTTGGCATACGTTGTTAGCAAGTTGGGGACTCTGATGGTAGCGAGCAAGGGCGACCGATGATGATCAATGGTGTTTAGTGGCTACAGAAGCTGGAAGTTAGCATCGTGTCTTCAGTCCAGAACATTCTTTGAAATTCTTTCTCTTCTCCTCCTCTAATCAAGTGAAGAGTGAGGTCTATTTATAGAACTTAGGGAAAACACATTTTGATCTTTTGGTAAATAACTTCCCCAACCGCCTAATCGACTAGTCCAAATTGATCTCTCTTGATGAAAGAGGATTTTTAATGTTTTGGGAATCTTAATGACCTTAAAAATAAGCGAGCTTAGGCTTGTTAGATTCCTCTCGTCGAGATACTTGATTTGAATAAAAATATTTGATATTTAGAGTTAATTTGATTATTCATTTGATGATTCAAAATCTCAACATATGTTTTAATGGGTTGATACAAGCTTGCTTGGACTCAAATCAGACAAATTTTCATATTATTGGGTTTGTCGTGTTGAGTCGGTCAGCTTGATTACAATATTCTTGAAATCAAGGCTTTAAATGATCTTGAGTTTCAATCTAGAATGTTATTACTCAAAAAAAATATTGAGATTCGTGCTACATGATAAAAAATTTGTTCATGATGCATCAAACCCTTCGTTTTGTTGAGAAAAAATTGAGAGAAATTATCTTATTTCTTATTAATTAGATGATGAAAAATTGAATTTTTATTTCTCAAAATTATGGAATATTTGAGCTAAACAATAATCCTATTAAAGTTGTTGGAATTGCCATATTATTAGATCAGTATATACACATGTTTCAAACATTTATTATAAATAAGAATCTATAGTATTTATTACAATAATTAATGCCCATTAATTAGAACATTTTTATCAGTTATTCACTTTATCTATCCTATAAATAAACAATTGAATCAATATATCGTTGCCGATACCAACCGAAGGATTAGTCAACTATTTCTTGGCTGAAGATGATGAATCCATTTCTAAAACAGCTGTATGGGTCACAAAAAAGAAAAAAGAAAAAAGAGGATCCCATCTCTTTCGAATCAGATCAATCCAAACAAATCAGCTTCTTTTTTTTCATGCAACCAAGAAGAAAGCAACTGCACCCATTATTAACACCAACCAGATTAGCAAAGTGCAACTGAACAAATCACAAGCACCCTCATGTCATGATTGAGACTCCTTTGACCTCGTACAAGTTAAAGTCAAAAATTTTATGCAATTGCTCTCACATAGTAAACTTTCAAGTGTTCCATTTATTTTAAGGTTTCAGTTTTACAAGCTACTTATGATTTTGGATTGCTCCAAAGGAGATGAGATTTTCGACACAAAAAAGGTGCACTATCATACTAGTTTTTCGACGATACCAATTTGGCCTCAACACATCCATATAATTACTCCATTTTCTATAAGGCTCTAATTCATAAGTCGCTTAGTGATATTGTATTGCTCATAATGAGATATTTTAATACCAATATTATGACATTGTAACTTTTTTCAAGTAGCCATATGTTTGACCCACAAATGTTCTTAAGATTATCCCTATCCATCTTGGAATTTTAATATAGCTTCAAAGCTATACAGTTGGATTGTTAATTGGAGACCATCATTAGCAACTATCATTGTCGAACAACTATCGTCGACCCTTATTTAACTGCCCACACAACCATAACTAATTAGACCTATTGGGTCAACAAAAAAGAAGTCACTCACCATGTCAAGGGAGGGCAAGATTCAGGACATCTGATGTCCATGCTAATTTGGAAAAAAAAACCAAATGCTATCCTAAAATTTATAAAACACATATTCAACATAAGAATCCAAGGTGAAATCCTCAAATGTAGAGACTTCTAGACCTTGACTGCTACAGTGCACACTCAAATATCTTTGGTTTTCTCCATCTTTCTGTCTTCACATCTCTAAGTCTTATAATTCCCATCATTTTTAAAAGAGGAACCATCCCAACCACCTCTAATTATTCAATATAATCCAATTTCCGTTTTTTTTTTCAACGAAGGGGTTGTGTTAATAACTAAAACCATCCATTTTGTCTTATTTTCTCTTCTATGACGGAAGGGGCCATCATATGAAATGCTATCAACAGTAGCACCTAAAGACTCCCTTCACCACCATCATAGAAGGCATACCCCAAAGATTATTTTGTATACATTGTTTTGTTGACTTTTCCAAATTTATGGAAGGGTGACACACTACAATCCAAGACTAAGATTAGTACAATATGTTTCAACTAGCCTAGATACCCTAGTTTTTTTCTTATTCCAATTTTCACATAAAAAATTGGGAATTGCATTACTGACTTGGTTGTGGGGGATCTTCCTTTTGAAACTAAGGAATTACATTTTCTTTCTCCACTTTCGCAAGATTCCAATACATACCAATTAAAATCAATAAAAACCAATTGCAGAACGAACTTAAGTAGCATGTCATTAAGTCTTGACGTTTAAAATCAACAAAACACAATTCCACAATGGATAAACTAAAGTAGCATATCATTGATTCTTGTTCTATTCATTTAACCACCTTAAAAGCAACTAGAACTATGATATGCTTTTTGTAAGCCACCACTTTCAAAAGCGCCTTCAAGCCCTTGACTGTCTCCAGCAACAACAGGTCCTTGGATGATGGGAATAATTTAATTTATTCAATTCCACAATGAATATTTATGTATTTCATAGATAACATATTTATGGAGACATTATAGGATTGTTAAAAACAAAATTGAATGCCTCGCCGCCGCTCTGGACCAGCTTGGAGTGGCGCGGTTGTGGTAAGTTATGGTGGAATAGTGGCCTGCAAGATGGCGGAGGCAAGATCAGACCTGGTCAATGCGATGGTTGTTTCGGGATCTGTCACTGCTATGACTGATTCGATAAGTGAGGAGGTTGGGATTCTCATCATCCAAAGAGCTGTTGTTGCCGGAGACGGTCAAGGGTTTGAAGGCGCTTTTGAAAGTGGCGACTTACAAGAAGCATATCATAGATCTAGTTGTTTTAAGGTGGTTAAATGAATAGAACAAGAATCAATGATATGCTACTTCAGTTTATTCATTGTGGAATTGTGTTTTATTGATTTTAAACGTCGAGATTTAATGACATGTTACTTCAGTGCACATGTTTTGCAACTGATTTTTATTGATTTTACTTGGTATGTGTTGGAATCTTGCAAAAGTGGAGAAAGAAAATGTAATTCCTTAGTTTCAAAGGAAGATTCCCCACAACCAAATAAGTAATGCAATTCCCAATTTCTCATGTGAAAATTGGAATACGAAAAAAACTAGGGTATCAACTAAACTTAGTCTTGGATTGTAGAGTTTCGCCTTTCCATGAATTTGGAGAAGTCATCAAAACAATGTATACAAACTAATATATAAAAGAAAATGTTTGAACATTAGAAGAGGCAACTTTGGCAATACATTTGCTTGCCAAGGCTCACCTTAGTGCAGCCGGCTTAATCACCAATTAAAAGAGAAAAACTCAGCCCAAGATGCCACCATATATCCCTGCCCATGAATTAAAACACTTACCTAATGAATGCGTGTTCACCCCGTCCATCCTCGATCCTAAGCACGAAATAACCGGAGGAATCAAGCACTGTCTCGACAGAGATCTCCCGCCAACCCGGTAGGACGAAATAGACAGCAAAGAGCCCTTCTGAGTCAGGTTCCGCAGCGATCGCCACAGGACATGACGCCAAGACGACCAGACCAGATCTTATCCGATTGCAGCCATTCAACGCTCTTGTACCCACCACTTGTGCTCTGTGGTGGGATCTTAAAAACTGACAGCTCCTGCAACACGAGGAGAGTGTGCTCAAGCTACTCCTCGATCGATGACATTTCTCGATTTCAGATTCCTGCGACAAACTAAGAGAATCAGTCCTTCCTTCGCTCGACCGATCTCAAATTTAGAAGAAAGTATCATAAAAAAAAAAAAAAATTAGAAAGCGCAAGGAACATACCCGGCTTCAAAGGCTGCCAAAAATTAAACCAAAATAAACCTCAACAACAAAATTAATGGAGAAAGATAACCGATAAGGTATAAACCAATGGAAGAATTCATGTAGTTAATTGAAAGCAACAAAATTGGATGATGACGATGGAGCATCCCACTCACTCTCCGCTGGGAACTTTCCATCTGTGAAAGATGCAGGCGCCGTGATAAGACTATCTGATGCCTTAACATCTTTGTTCCATATATAGGAAGCATAGGTGCTTAGTGAGCGTGGGGAGGGTTCAATTGAATCGGGTAGGCGGAGGAAGACGAAAATGAAAGATGATCACACGGCTCACGCGATTAGGAGGAAAAACAGGGCCACACGAGATTACTAAAGGAATTTTTCATGCTGACATAAAATATGGGATGAAAACACAATATGATTATATCAATATGTTAACTCACAGGGCAACACGAGAATATCTTGTACCCACATATTGATATAATCATATTGTGTTTTCATCCCATATTTTATGTCAGCATGAAAAATTCCTTTAGTAATCTCGTGTGGCCCTGTTTTTCCTCCTAATCGCGTGAGCCGTGTGATCATCTTTCATTTTCGTCTTCCTCCGCCTACCCGATTCAATTGAACCCTCCCCACGCTCACTAAGCACCTATGCTTCCTATATATGGAACAAAGATGTTAAGGAGACCATCATTGGCAATTTTGGATATCGAATATCTTAATTTAGTAATAATATAGTAAACTAAATAAACTCACGCGTAACAAATGTTTGGATATCGAGATATCTTAATTTTTATAAAATTTATCTAAATTTAACAAAAAAAAAAAAAACTATAAACAGTAAAATATATGAAAAATTAAGTACTATTCATAGGTTATTAATTTGTTTTGTTTTTTAATCAAATTTTTGTATCCATACCACTCAATTCTTATTTATTTACATATCTAACGTCAAAATTTCAAATTTTACATATGTCTAAGAGGGGAACTAAGAAAATTAAGGAGATGGATTGTAAAATAAAAAAATAAAGCGGAATGGTTTTTTTATTTAAGACTTTGCACTCTTAATTTTTATTAATTTTTTAAAAAATATTATTATAAAATTTAAAATATAATTAATATTAAATATTTACGTTCAATAATCAAAAATTTTAATATTTTAATAATATTAAAAAAATTTATAAAGATCTAGGAATGAAGAGTGCCAACTCAAGTCACCCTTTGATTCCACCTTCACATAAGTATCATTTTATTTATATGTGACGTGTATTTCATTATTTCTAAGTTAATATGATGATATTTTTCATTCGATACAAACATTTGTGTGTTAGAATATAAAAAAATAATTAAGGTGATAGATATGTAAGTACACATCAAATGAGTGATACTTATGTAAATGTCTCTTTTTAATAACTTTCGATCCCCGTCTTATTACGGCGTCCTGCAACATTCACAGATCGAATTCCTAATAGAGAGTGAGTGAGATCCTCCATCGTCATCATCAAATTTTGTTGTTCTCAACTAACTGCATGAATTCTTCCATTGGTTTATACCTCATCGATTACCTTTCTCCGCTAATGTTGTTGGTGAGGTTTGTTTTGGTTTAATTCTTGGCAGCCTTTGAAGTCGGGTACCTTCCTTGCGCTTTAAGCGGTGCCCTTTCGTGCCGTCTTAAAACCTTTTTTTTTTTTTTTTTTTTTTTTTTTTTTTTGATGATCATTTCTTCTAAATCTGAGATCAAGGAAGGGACTGATCCTCTTAGTTTGCCGCAGGAATCTGAAATCCGGAAATGTCATCAGACAAGTCGTTTGAGCACACTCTCCCCGTGTTACGGGAGGTGTCAGTTTTTAAGATCTCACCATAGAGCACGAGTGGTGGGTACAATCGGATAAGATCTGGTTTGGTCGTCCTCGTGTCGTGTCCTGTGGCGATCGCTGCGAGAACCTGCCTCCGAAGGGCTCTTTGCTGCCTATTTCATCCAACCTGGTCAACGGGAGACAATGCTTGATTCCTCCCCATATTTCGTGCTTAGGATGGAGGATGGACGGGGTAAACACACATTCATTGGCCTAGGGTTTAACGAGTGGAACGAGGCGTTCAATTTCTATGTGGCTCTTTCTGATTATGAGAAGAATTCGAGGAGAGAACACGAGGAGTTTGATGGCATGGAGGACGATCAGAGCTCGATCGATATACCCCCTGCAGTGAATCATCGACTAAAGGTAAGTGTTTGAATTCACGGGCAAGGATACATGGTGGTATATTGGGCTGAGTTTTTCTCTTTTCAGTGGTGATTAAGTCGGTTGCACTAAGGGGAGCCATGGCAAGCTAATTGACTACCAAAGTTTCCTCTTCTAATGTTCAAATATCTACATATATAAATATCTACATATATATACATATATATATATATATATATATATATATCTAGTTGCGCCGCGTACTCAGGGCATCTGCTTGTCAGTTGTTATTCTCCTCTGGTCTGGGATTCAATTCCGACGGTGTGTAGGATGTGGTACTCGAATTAATAGTCTTATGAGGAATGGTCGAGGCTCGTATAATAGCCCCCAAGTCATACCATTTTTTAAAAAATTGTATATCTCACGAGGGATGGTTTTGGAGAGAATTTTGAGAGTATTCCTCAAGGTCGTCTTCCTCTTGTGGAGAAATCTTGTAGAATGTGAGTTTCATGAATTTTGTGAGTTTTTGAGAGATTTGTATAAGTGGATGGAGTGTTGCAACTGTGGAGAAAACAATATGAATAAATTAAGAAAGATTTGTATAAGTAGATTTGAATTGAAGTTACCTCCATGGGCTTTAGTCGCCCTCTATCATGATTAAGCTAAGTTAAGAAAGTGATTTCTACATTTAATAAATATATAATTTTATATACATAGATATTTATATGTATATTTGATTAATGATGTACCCAGTGAATCATGAGTCTACCTTGGGTCAAGTTAATGTATGGCGAATCATTATCTTCGTTATTCTTCATGTCTGCACTACACTATCAACATTATCCTAATAAAATGGATGTCAATTTATGGAATCTATCCTCACCAATTATTTTTAACAGCTGCATTTCATATTATTTCAGAACAGATGAATCTTTCTAAAAAAAAATTAAAGAGAAGAAATGCAAAACACTAGCAACGCAAGGGATGATTTGATTTTCTTTATGCTGCATATTTGAATCTTAGTACATAAAACAAAATGAAACATCAATGCAACACAAAAAGGAATCACACCAAAACACTCAACTCCAGTTTTATTGTGCAGAAGAAGAATAGAAGTCTAAAAGAGAGCATGCAGTGGGCAATGCGATTTTTCTTTATTTGCCGACCCCAGCAACGTAGTGGGATTAAGGCTTTGTTGTTGTTGTTGTGTTAAATTATAAATAAAACAGACAGGTGAATAAGAGTGAGAAACATTTGAGTCATTTGACAGAAGTCAAAATGAAGAAGGGCAAGCAACTTTCTTCAGATAAGGCTTTTTCAAGTCCACAAACTATAAACTTGTATCACAAGTATATAGCACGCATAAGGAATGGCAAATAACTTCTATTACTATTTAAAAGAGATGCGTCTTAGGATGGAATTGTAATTATGGAATCCCGTAGCTACAAGAAGTTGCTTAATTTGTTATTATTACTATTTGAACGAAAAAATGATTCAGTGATAAATTTGTACAAAGAAAAGTGAAGTTCAGCAAGTGAGCATTCTGCTAATAGAAACTCTAAAACAATCCTTTCTTTGAAGAAAATATTCTTAAATGCACAAATTTTGTTAATTAAATGCAAACTAAGAATCTAGGGAGGATGAACAGATGCAAAGCCTCACGTTCCTGTTTCTCACGCACGTCAGGTATGCCTTACAATGTATTAATTTTTTCACTACCAACATTGATGGAGCATGATGTCACACCATGGAGACTGTGTTGGATCCAACTGTGATTTAAAAAGTAACATTTGATATTATCATTCAAATTACAATAACATATTTTATACTAATTTCTGGTTCTTTATTTTGATTTATCAAATTACCATATCTATAATTACTATAACATATTTTATTGTAGGAATTTACTAAAGATCAAAAAGCCTCATACACTAAAATTTATTTTTATGAAGGAGTTGTGTGTTTATGTAAATCTTTCATTACATTTTTACATATCAATAAAAATGACAACTCAAATTGGGTTTAATGAAGTGAAATAAATAAATAAATAAAAACAAAGGAAACTTGATGATAGGTATAACCAAGTCATGCAAAAGAAAACGAAAAGTAGATGTCAAATCAATTGGGAGGAATGTAAATACGATCTGATATGACTTTGATTTCTCACCGATTAATAGTAAATCTTATCCATGTCATAATGTACAAGATGATAATTTTTTCCAAAGATGAAATAATTTAATTTAGTCATCCATTGCCTTAAATTCGATTGTCGGTTTTTCATGCTAACGCGATGAGCTCGCCAATTATGCTCAATCTTAACATACCAAAATTCTTACTTGATTGTATATAATTACCAAATGAAAGTATTTCTTCGGATGCATTTAATGCAAAATTTCCTTTTATATTTTATTTTTCAAATCGTTACAACATTAAAGTGTAAGTCGTCATTAAAGATAGATAGATGTAAATCTTTTACTTTTTCCCAACAGCTCTGTTAACTTACTGTCTGAAATACTGCTCATAAATGACATTTTTTTATGAACTAGATAAATGAATTTCTTAATTTAGTAATTTTATGAGCACACTTTTTTTTTATAGATTAATTAACATTGTCAATCTTCTGTTTTCGAAAGAAAATTAAATTTAAAATCTTGCACGCAAATAGAATAAGTTTATCCAAATAAGAATTTTATACGAAGTAAAAAAAGATCACAAATACGTAATACAATAAAATATAAAATTTCTTATCAAAATTAAGTTGTGATCTTTATTAAAGATCAAAAAGCCTCATATACTAAAATTTATTTTTATGAAGGAGTTGGGCAGTTTATGTAAATCTTTCATTATATTTTTACATATGAATAAAAATGGCGACTCAAATTGAATTTTATGGCGTGAAATAAATAAATAAATACAAACAAAGAAAACTTGATGATTAGTATACTAAGTCATGCAAAAGAAAACAAAAAGTAGATGTCAAATCAATTGGAAGGAATGAAAAGACGACCTGATATGACTTTGATTTCTTCCCGACTTATAGTAAATGTTATCCATGTTATAATGTACAAGATGATAATTTCTTTCCAAAGATGAAATAAATTAATTTAGTCGTCCCTTGCCTTAAATTCGATTGCTGGCTTTTCATGCTAACCCGATGAGCTCACCAATTAC